GAGAAAGATGGGATTTCTACTTCTGCAAAGGCTTACGGTCTCAGAAACCCACAGGGGCAGTTCCACCCTGCCCCATAGGGTCAACGAGAGTCTTCATCCATCTGCTCAAATCCATGGCCATGAGTTTGGCTTTTTAACATCCGCTTCACTCGCCGCCACCACCAGGTGTCTCCCACGTGCGGAGCCCCTCCAGTTACTGGGGACAACGTGGGTGCTTCCCAGTTTGAGCTGTGACAGATACAGCTGCCTGCCCCTGCCTGTTCCTGTCTGTTGGTTTATCTGGGAACTCGTGAATGCCGGATAGACACTGCCAGGGGCTGAACTGTGTTTCCCGAAAGATGAGTGTTGGGATCCTAACCCCAGGCCCTGTGAATAGCATCCCATTTGGAAGTAAAAATCTGAAGGCAAACGTCAACTTCATCTCACGGCGACTCCATGGGACAGAATAGAACTGCCCCACAGGGCTTCAGAGTCTGTCAATCTTACGGAAGCAGACAGCCCCATCTTTCTTCTTAAGTGGGATTAGGAATTGACTTCCCCGATGAAAGTCCTAGGGAGCCCCCCCCTACAGCAGCTCAGAACATGCCTTAGCGCATGCCTGGGCACTCCAGATAAAAGACCAGTCCCTGGAGTGGTGCTGAAGACAGCCTCTGGCCGGGAGGTAAGAGTTGGCCAGGTGGCTCCTGGCCCTGCTGCTCAGGGTCACACAGATGCATAGATGCAGGTGCTCTAATGCAGTGGGCTGCACAGTGCCGGCACTTCCCAACATGCTGAGCAAGGCGATGGCACTTTAGGCAACCCTGACACCAGAAGATCTAGATGGTGCCCAGCTTCCAGCCAGTGCTCAGGAAGGAATCACATTAGAAGGTAAGGTCTTGGGGAGCGTGAGAAGAAAATATGGAACAAGACTCAAAATGCATGCAGCTTTAACCTAATGGCATCAGCAGGGATCCACTTTCCAATGCGTTCTGCAAGATAGCCAGGCAGTTAGGATAAAATGTCACACCTTCTCATTGGCTCTCCCTTTTGACCCATTTTAAACTTATTATTTTTTTATTTGTATTTTTTTAAAATTTTACTCAATCATTTTATTAGGGGTTCTTACAGCTCTTATAAGAATCCATACCTCTGTTGTATCAAGCACATTCGTACAAAGGTTGCCATTATTATTTCCAAAACATGTTCTTTCTACTTGAGTCCTTGGTATCGGGTCTTTGTGTTTCGCCTGCCCCTATTCTAGCTTTTAATCTTGTCTGCTTTCTTGTGGATTGAGGTTTTTCTGTGTTACTTCGCTATCGTTGTGAGGTTTGGGGCTGTTGTTTTCTCTTGTCTTTTTAATGTTTTTCTGTATAGAAACTTCAGGATAATTAAACCTTAGAGGCAGTAGCTGGATTAATGGTTTCTGGGGACCATAGCAGGGGAGCTAATAACAATGAGTGCAAGAATGAAGAAAATGTTCTAAAACTCATTGTGGTAATGCTTCTACAACTCTCCTTAATACGATTGAATTGTATGATTTGTGAATGGTATGCCAATAAAATGGTTTTGCTTCCCTTTTTTAATCATTAAAAGTATGATGGTGGGGGGAGTAAGATCGGGCTTATGGGTCAGATAGAGACTGGTGGGACCCTCAAAACTATGACCTTTAACTTCAAGCCTGGAACTGAACTCACCCCAGTGGCTGCATTTTCAGCCCAACAAGAGGTCTGTAAGTGGGAAAATAGCACTAGGGAGGTAGGCATTTGACGCCCAAACTCCCTGCCATCAAGTCCATGCTGACTCATAATGACCCTGCAGGACAGGGTAGAACTGCCCCGTAGGTGTCCAAGGCTGTAACTCTTTACAGGACAAGAAAGCATTGGACACCATTTGAAGTCCACAGGGCAGCGTGTGATACAGGACCGTGTTCGGAAGGGGCAGGAAAGGAGGCGTGGAAACAGGAGAAGCAGGGAGGAAATGAGAGAAGTGGTGTCGGCGATCAATGATATGACCCAAATAGGTCTTTGGTAGGAAGACTGATCTGCTGTCAGCCTTCCCCTGTTCATCATCGTCTGTTTTTCCAAAGAAAACAGAACAGAAGCAAAGGGTGGTGGCGGGGAGGGGGTCTTACTAGGAGTGCGAAAGGCATAGGAAAGAGGGGCATGCTGGCAGTGGTCCTGAGGTTGGAAAGGACCTGGCCCACCACCCACTGCATCAAGTGGATGCCGGCTTGAGGAGACCCTTTGGGACAGACTAGAATTGCCCCCATAAACGTTGCAAGACGGTCAGCCTTCACATGAGCAGTGGCCTCATCTTTCTCCCAAAGGGTTTGAACCCCTGAACTTGGGGGTTAGCTGCCAAAAACTGAATTCACTGCACCTCTAGGGCTCTTTGTGCCAAATGCAGCCCGCTACCAACTCAGTCTGGAGTCTAGACATCCAAACCCGAGGGGTAAAATTGTGAACAGCCAGTTTCTAAAAAGCTATAGAAGAAGCACAGCCAGCGTGCTCCTTAGAGGCAAGCATGGTGAGGGTACTAGTCTTGGCTGCCTCCCTCCATACTCACAGGGACCCTCCCCCTTAGCTGGGGATAGCCACCTGGTGAGCCTGGGCCAGGGGTTGGAAGAGGGGGCTTGGGCTTCCTCAGTCCCTGCTCTAGGCAGACCCCTGTTCCAGGAGCGGGAGACCTACCTCCTTGTTAGGATTCATAGGAAGTGAGGATACCAAGGCTTGGGGCATCCAGGTCCCCCTCAACAGGGACCCTGAGTCTAGGAGGGAAGGAAGGGGGAGCAGCGGGCCAGCCAAGGTTCTCACCCGCCCCCTACTACAGGAGGGGAGGGTGGGCCCCCCACCTGCTATGAGTCCCTACTGGGGGACCTGGGCCCTGAGCTGTCAGGTGAGTGTCCCTGGTATGTATTGTGGGGAGGGGCGGGAAGTGGGGGTAAGGAGAATGCCCCTGTCTCCAGTGCATGGCGGGGTGGGGGGTTACACAGGCCAACCGAGGTGTATGTGTGTGTGAACCCCTATCCCCAGTTTGTGTTGGGGGAACATGTTGTCTCCAGGGTGTGTGGCAGGACCTCATCCCCACTATTTGGGGAGGACCCCCTTGTGCTCCATGGGGGGGAAAGGGGGGTGTCTCTTGTCACCATCCCCGATAGCATGGCTTCCCAAGCCTTGTAGATGAGCTTTGCCAACTGTGGGGACTTCCCCACCATGGGTGACAGCAGCAGGAGGTGGATGGGCACTCGTCTTGGCCGAGCAGAACCAGGGTGCCCCTTCCAGGCCCCATATGGGGTGCACCCTGCCCTCCAGGACCCTCCAGAGCTGCCAGCCTGGGGCCCAGGAGCTGGTATGGTGGGGCCCTTTTGGGGGGACAGAGGCAGACTCCAATGCCAATTATGCAAATTGTCCACCCCCACCCCTCCACACACACACATACATATATCCACCCTGTCGCCAGCACCCAGCCATGAGTGGTGGTCCTTCTGGGCAGAGGGGTACAGGGCAGGATTTGACACAGAGTGGACCCTTAGTAAGGGACAGGGAGTGGGAGCCAAGGCACCCACAGCCAGGAGCATGGGCCCTGCAGGTGAAGCTGTTCCCTGTCCCTCAGGCCCCGTGACCTAGCACCCAGAGCCAAGTGACAGGGGACTGGGAGCCAGGAGACAAATTGTGCTACAGGAGGGGAGGGTGGGCTCTTGCAGAATTCAAGCCACTGTGATGCTGCGACCGCTGGTGAGAAGATTGCAGGGTCGGGGGACAGGGACCCAGAGGCAAGGGGAACGAGCAGCCATCCCCACTTTGGGGATCCGGGCTTGGGGGTCACCTGATGATGACTCATCGCCTCTCTGGACCGTCCTCTGTGCCCCCCACCCCTTCTACCCCCACCTAGGACGCAGGCTGGAACAGAGGCATCCCAGCCCAGGGGAAGAGAACCATCCGCCAGATGGGCCACGGGAACCCCGTTGGGGTCTAAAATCAGCTTTTTAATTGCACAGTTGTGTCTCGGGTCTTCTGTGGGGGGAGAGCACCCCACCACCACCACCACAGGGGTACAATCTGACTTCATGGTCCGTTGTCGGTGAGCGGCAGGTGCAGGGTTTCTGGCAGGGTTCTGAGTCCAGTGTGGGCCCCTCAGGGCAGGGAGCTCAAGCCTTGGAAGACAGGGAGGGCACAGGTGTGGTCAGCGGGCAGGACAGGTGCAGGCCCGGACCCCACCCTCCCACCCCCACTTCCTAGCCCCCGCCGAGTCGGCGGGTCCTCCGGCTCACTCACCGTGGTTGTACTTGCACTGCTTCAAGGCCTCGCTGAAGCCCTCACACAGGGACAGGTCACTCTGCGTGGTTGAGCAGTCGAGGAACTGCCTGATCTCATAGGCGCACGGGCCCAGCTGGTGGGGCTGGGGGGCAGCTCGGGCGGGGGCCTGAGGACATAGGGGCAGGCGCAGAGTCAGCAGGCGCCGGTCCCAGGGGCAGTGGGGAAGAGACGGAGCACCCAAGGTTATGCAGCAATCGCACGGTCCGAGGCCACCCCCCACGAGTTCTAGAACCTTCTGGTCTCCGGCGAGTGATCCGTAATCCTCTTGCCCCACAGTCCCTGAGTTAGTTGCTAAAGCTTGGCGGCAGGGCACAGGCCTCAAAGTCACCCTTGCCCTTTGCCAGTGGCCGGAGGGGCTGCAAGGGGGGAGGGGGCGCCCTAAGATACACCAAGACCCGCCATCTCTGACCCCTCGGGCGTCGTTTAAGGACTAGCTGGAGTTTAGGGGTGGGGGGACGAAAGGGGCGAGGTGCCCAGATTAACAGTGAAGACTAGAACGTTACGTGGGCAAAACCTGAGGCACACTAGGGCTGATGTCCAGCTACCCCCTCCCCCCTGTCACCACTCCATGTGACCCGGACCGGGTCCAGCTTGACTCTGAGGTTGACCTGCTGAGTGGTGGGCTGGGCGGGCTCCGAGCTTCCTCCGCTGAAGGCTCCGGTCAGCGCGCTGCCCATCACGTGGCCCACGGCCGAGCCCACGGCCACCCCCGCGGCTGTGGACGCCATCTGAGCCATGAGGCCCGGCTGGCCTGGAGCGGCTGGGGCTGGAGCTGGCACAGAGGGTGGCGGGTGCGCCGGCGGGTGGGCAGAGGGGTGGCTGTGCAGGGGAACAGAGTGACCTCAGGGCCGCCCCCAGACCCTATGCTGGTCCAGGAGACGTCCTCTCCCCCCTCCCAGAGAGGGTACCGTCCACACCCACACACACCCACACACACAGGGACTTAGAGGTGGCACCCTGCTCACCGCCCCCCCCCAAGATGGCGCAGCAGCAGCCAAGGTCACAGTGCGGACGCCTGGAGGGTGCCCACGCCTCCCTGCAGCCCTCCCCACGGAGGCCCGGCTGGACTACCTGGAGGGCCGGGCGGCCGCGCTGCGGCTCCCGCGGGGCATGGTGGCGACGGCGGCAAGGATGGGACTCGAACGAACTGAAAACGACCGGGAGACAGCGCTTCTGCCGCGGGGACGGACGCAGCACCTCTTGTCACCGCGTGAAAGGGGCTGGCGGGAGGCGGAGCCTCTGGGACACGCCCCCAGAGAGCGTCAAGGGCAGCAAGCGTCCCCTCCCCCGCACCGTCGTCCCCCGACCTCCGATCCTGCAATCCCCGGCGGGGGCACACTTCTCTCGGCGCGGGACGGGGCCGTGCGCCCCAGGGTGTCCCCTGCGCCTAGCCAGCGCGCCGCTGGCGGCCCCTCCTGCACCTGCTTGCGCCGGTCCCCTGCGCCCTGCCTGCTCCCCCACCTCCTTGAACCCAGGCTACGCACTGCCAGCGCTCCCCCTGCACCCACCCCGCGCCCCACCTGCCTGCGCCCTCCCCCCACACACACACACCTTGTGGTCCCACCACCTCCCGTCTCTTTCCACCACCACCCACCACCCCTGCCGCCTCCCAGACCGAGCTCCGCGGACCCTAGGGACCCCTAGCACTGTCTCAAAGCACGGAGGGTCTAAGCAGGAGCGACAGAGCCCACCTTTACATTAGGGGGACAGGGAGTAGAATGAAGCGGGTTAGGGGCGAGAGGGGGCGGGAGCGACGGACTGAGGTCAGCTGGATAGGGGGACACGAAGGCCAGACCCAACTCTCTCCTCCCTGTGATGGGACTTACTAACCACCTCGTGACGTGGACGAACCCCTGGCGGCGTGTGGGTTACACGTTGGGCTGCTAACTGCCAGTTCAGCGGTTCGAAACCGCCAGTAGCACGACGAGACTTTCTACTCCCATAAAGAGTTAGTCTCAGAAACCCAGAGGTGCCTTTCTACCCCGTCCTACAGGATCGCTGTGCGTTGGAACTACCTGGGTGGCAGTGAGCTTGGTTTGAGTGACAGGCAAGCGACCTGTTCACAGGAGTCCCGATAGGGGCGGCCAGGCCCTGCCCTGGCTCTGTCTGTCCCCGGGCAGCACCCGCGGCCCCGCGGGGAGGTCCCCTGCGAGGTGGCCACCGCAGACCCTGCGCCCCCCTGGTCGTGTTCCGGCAGTTTCTAGCGCAAAGGCCACGCCTCCCCGCGCTGCGTGGGCTTGGCTCCCAGGGTCCAAGGAGTTGGCAAAGGGTGGCACCTTCCCGGCCCTTCAGCAGCTTGCGGCTTTTATGCCTCTTTTCCTGGGGACTTTGCAGTTGGCATATATTCCGTATCTCTGGCTGGTTGACGGATTGGACTGCAACCAGCAAGGTCATCGGTTGGAAAGCACCGGCCCTTCTTGGGGAAGAAAGAGAGGGGCTTTCTAATCCAGGCTGGGAATCCCACAGGGGCCATTCTACCCTGTTATCTAGGGCTGCTGGAGCGGCCTCCGCTCAGTGACACTGCCTTTGGTATTACAGTGAACCCTCGTTTATCGCGGTTAATCGGTTCTAGACCCTACCGTGATAAATGAAATTCCGCGAAGTAGGACTCCTTATTTGTAAATCAAATATTTTCGTAGTTAGAGCATAGAGGACATGAAAAAACACCCTTTAGTCACCATTACACTCGTATTACCCAATTTATTAAACGAAAAAGGGAAAATACAGTAAAACATTTTGGACGTTACAATGATCATTTATTATTTATGGCATCAAGCGTGTACGGTATGAGCCAATCAGTGGCAGTAATGACAGAGCATGCGCTGTTACGCAAAAACCGCGATAGAGTGAAGCCGCGGAAGTCGAAGCGCGAAGTGGCGAGGGTTCATTGTATTGTGCTTTTTAGAGGGCACACCTTGGTTTCCCAGCCCAGGAACCTAAAAGCTAAGCATGGGAACGCATCCCGGTGGCACACGGACAAGAGGACTGGCGCTCTGTTTCCGTCAAGATGCCATCCAGAAAGCCCTGTGAAGCCCAGCTCTGCTCTTCCACTCACTCACTGCGCTGCATGCGGCGGGGTTGACTTTGGTGTGGCTGTGGATTACTGGGTGCACAGAGAAGATGGGGGGAAGGGAGGAGGGAGTTGGCTGGGCCCTGTGCAGAAGGGGGTAGCTTCTTGGTCAAGGCAGCTCTGTTCCGGGGCCCCTGCCAGAGGGTCATGGTAGGGGAGCAGGCGATATTATTGAGTGCCATCTCTTTCCACACATTTGGGAAAAAAAACTCATCGGACCGCACAGGACAGAGCAGGGCTGTAACTCTTTATGAGAGTAGAAAGCTTTCTCCCTTGGAATGGCTGGTGGTTTCCAACCCGACCTTTTGGTTAGCAGCCCAACGTGCAACCAGGGCTCCTAGTGGACAGACCCTGCCCTCTTCAGGCAAACAGATGCCAGGTGTTTCTTCTGTGGCGCCACGGAGAGGGTGTGAACCACCACACCCGAGGGCGGAGGGGCCGTTGGGGGATGGGGCCCTGACTCAGTGACACTCACCTCTCCCCTTTTCCAAACACACGAGGCCTCTGCTTCTAGTACCCTTCCTGCCCCTGACCCCAGTCACTTATCCACTGGTGTAGAAAAGCCTGACCTACCCCCTCTGTCATGGGCCTCAGTTTCCCCATTGGTAAGTCATCTGACCAAACCCAACCCACTGCCGTCAAATTGATTCTGACTCACAGTGACCCGTTATCAAGTGTCTGAGACTACATCTTTCTCTCCCCGCAGCCCTCACCCCCCGGAGTGGCTAGTGGGTTTGAAGGGCTGACCTGGTGGTCAAGCAGCCCAATGTCTAACCTGCAGCACACCAAAAAATCAAATTCACTGCGATTCCGACTCACAGCAACCTTACAGGGCAGGGTAGAACTGCCCCTGTGAGTTCCGGAGCCTATCATTGTACAGGAGTAGAAAGCCCCTTCTTTCTCCTGTGGAGCTGCTGGTGTCTTCGAACTGCTGGACCTTGTGGTTAACCGCCCAACTCGTAACTGCCGCACCATTGTGGCTCCCACAGCACCATCTGTTATAGAAACGAAATAAAACAAAACAAAAACTCACTGCTATTGAGTCTATGCCAACCCATAGCGACCTTATAGGACAGGATAGAATTGCCCCCCAGGGAATTTCTGACTCTTGACGGGAGTAGAAAGGCTCATCTTTCTCCTGAGAAGCACCTGGTGGTTTCGAACTGTTGACCTTGCGGTGGGCAGCCCATCACAACCACGACACTACCAGGACTCCTGTTAAATAGAGGGTCCATGCAAAAGAGAAGACCTTCAATTAGATGAATTGACACTGGCTGCAACAATAGGCTCGGCCGTAGGGAGGTTTATGAGGACGGTGCAGGTCCATCTGTCATACATAGGGCCCCTATGAGGTGAGACCAACTGGCACCTAGCTACCAAAGTTAGCTATAGTTCTACTGTTCCAAGGATTGGCTGGGGGCTTAGGAGGGGCAGACAGCAGCTTGTGACCTATGCCTCAGTTTCCCCAGGGACACACATTGGAGTATGTCTTTCTTCAGTTCTGTGGAACTTTATCTTTCATAGTATATTCCTGAGGTAGAGTCAATTCAGAAGGACCCCTGGTTGAGGAGTGGTTCCGTATTGGGCTGCAATCCACATGGTCAGCAGTTCAAAGCTTAGAGGCTGGGGCATCCACTATGCATGCCCAGAGGTCCGAGCTACCGGCACATGGAGTGGTACACTGTGCATGCTCAGAGGCTCAGGTTTCCAGCAGGAAGGGGAGGTGCACCTGGGTGGGTGCTGCACCTGGATTAGCCCACCTAGGCCAGCTAAATTCAATTCAGCCAATGGGATCAACCAGGGTCGTCCACCCCGCCTCCCCGCGGAGTAATTGAAAAAAGCAGGAGCCCAGAGC